AATGTAACTGAAGAGGAAATCCAGGAAACCAAAGCTTCTCCTGTACTGCCCCTAAACATGTGACCTGTCAGTCCTGTGGTGATGCTGGGGGTGGAGGTGGGGAGGGGAGGCGTGGCTGCACCTGACCACAGGGTAGGGTGCTTCTGACCGTGCCCTGCAGTCTCTTTGGAGGAGCAGAGGCCAAGATGGCCCAAATCATGTCTTTCCTCCTTCCACAGTCAACCCGTTGGCTGTCGGGCATCCACTCTATTTCCTCTGTCTCCTCCTCACCCCCGAGCGCTTGCTCCTGCTCCTGTGATCTCACTTGGGCCCTGCAAGCAGTCTCAAAACCAGTGGCCCTGCTTTTGCCCCACCTTTCTAACCTCCACTCTTCATGTGGTGGCCAGAAAGATCTTTAGGACACTTAAAATTGTCAGGAATGTGGCTTTCTTTCAATGTACTTAGAGAGCTGTGCTTCTAAAACTTCAACGTACGTTCAAGTCATGTGGGGATCTTGCTAAAAATCCAGGCTGTGATTCAGCTGATCCGGGGCAGGGCCGGAGACCTTGCATTTCTAAGGAGCTCCCGGGCGACGCGGGAATCTTGGACTACATTCAGGAGTAACAAAGACTTAGAGAAAAATCCAAACTTCCTGCCCAAGTCCTACTTCATCGGGCCCCTTTCCAGAAATCCTCCGTTCTCTGCAACCCCTGCTCTTCTCTCCCTGTGCTGTAGCCACACTGGCCTTCATGCTATTCCTGGAGCAAGCTGAGTTGTTCCTGCCGCAGGGCATTTGCACGTGATGTTCCCGCTGCCTAGAATGCCTTCTCCCGGAGCTCCACATGGCTTGTTCCTTCTCTTTCTTTAGATCTTAATTCAAGATCAGTCATAGAGTACTTCTCTGACCACTTCAGCTGAAGAAGCACCCCATACCCTGGGGACTTGCTATCAGCTATAAACTTCTCTCCCTTCACAACACTTATCCTTCATTGAATTTACTCTGGGTGTATATTTAACTTCTTGTCTCCATGCTCAGGTTTGCTCCATGTGAATAAGGACATGGTTTCCTTCCCTTGGCCTATCCCAGAGGCTAGCACACGGCAGGTGCCCTTCTCGTGTTTTCTGGGTCTAGGCACGAACGTTCCTGCGCGGCTGCTGTGGTGCCGAGATGCTCGCAGCGCTGTGCAAGCTTCGAAGGCTTCACGCGCCAGCAATGCGGGTGCCCGAGGCAGAGGGGAGGGCGGAAGGAAGGAGCGAACCCTCTTGTCCTGAGGATGCCACAGAAAAAGTCTCAAGAGTCTGGAGATGAAGTTCCGCCCAAGAATCACCACGTAATGGATGAATTCACCGAACCAGGAGAGACTCACTCGGGAGGGTGAGGAAGGAAACTAAGTAACATTAGTTGAGTCACCGAAGGTGCTTGAAACAGGGCCTGCGATGCAGTATTTCACCAATAAATATGAATAAATACATCGAGAGTAAGGACTCTGCGACCATCACTTTGCAGAATGTTCTCGGTTCCTACTCACAACGCGTGCCCTCCATCTTGCAAATGAGGAGAAAGACTCTGAGATAAGAGAAGGCTTGCTCAGGGTTCGGAGACAAGACGGAGAACCCCACTCCCTCAAACAGCTCCGGGGAAGGTTGTAAACGCCACGCTCCCTGTCCCTTGGCCTGCTCTTTCCTGTGCCCTTGCACCTGTTACCACCAGCCATGCTGGGCATTCTACTGAATTATTTATGGTCTGTCTTCGCTCACCAGAATATAAACTCCCGGAGGGTAAGGATTTTTTGTTTTGTTTTTGTTTTGCCCACTCCTGCTTCCCAGAGCCCAGAATAGGGCTTGCCACAAGACTCAACACTTGAGGAATTCTGAATGTTAAAGGGATGAATGAAGGGATTATTTGTAAAGCCTTGCTTTCTGCATCTCTGGGAGGCAGGGGTGTAACGCAGGAGAGGAACGCTGTGGCTTGCAGGTCAGAAGGCAGACCGTGTCCACAGAAGAGGGGCTGACCGGCCACACGGAGCCTGGCGGGAGAGAAGCCGGGGAACAGGGCTTTGTCCAGTCTCCAACCCTCACACCGCTGCCAGGCTGGCAGTTACCCTTCTCAGGATACAGCTTCCCACATAAAATGGCCCTGGGGGGGGGGGGGGGGGGGAGGGTGGGGGGATGTGTCAACCGGGCCCCAGTGGCAATTACAGCTTGATGTAAATGCATAAATAGGCACTTACCAGGAAACCTCTTGTGAATTGAGTTAGAAGTGAGTCATTCACTCAAGCCTGGCTGCTCCAGCTGCTGAACAGACAGAGATTCTGAGCCACCCAGGACACACAATGGACGGTCCCTTGAGATAGCTCCCTGGGCCCGCTGACCTTCCTTTGCACCAACCTTTTTATTTTTTATTTTATTATTTCTTGTAATGTTTATTTTATTTTTGACAGAGAGCTTATGCTCACGGGGGAGGGGCAGAGAGAGAGGGAGACAGAACCTGAACAAGTTCCAGGGTCTGAGCTGTTAGCACAGAGCTGGATGTGGGGCTCGAACCCAAGGCTCGAACTCAGGAACGGAGAGGTCATGACATAAGCCGAATCATGACGATCAGATCAGGGTGCTTTACCAACTGAGCCACCCAGGCACTCCTACACCAACCCTTTTAAAGTTCAGGCTCCCAGACCCCACAGCATCAGCCTCACCCAGAACTTGTTAGAAAATGCAAATTCTCCAGCCACTGAACCAGAAGCCCTGAATGTGGGGTCCCTCGCTCTGCCTGTTCACAAGGCCTGCAGGAGATTCTGATTCACAGTTTGAATAACGGTTACACAGTTTCAATCCGGGCAGTTAACTATTCCTGCAGGGGCGGTGGGCTGGGCTAAGGTAACAGGGTTGGGGGCTTCACAGACACAGACCTGAGGGTCCTGTTTTAAATTAAGTAAGGAATGGAGTAGTGACTCTTAGTGGGAAGGGTCAAGAGTTAGGGAGGAAGCCCCTTGTGTTTCACAAAATCTTCACAAGAGGGGTTAGTTTGCAAAAGCACATTTTAAAGTTATAGTTTTGTGTTTTAGTTTTGAAATTTCAAATGACATTAAAGGAAGATTTAAAAATTTTCTTAAATGTTTATTTATCTTTGAAGGAGAGAGAGACAGAGCGTGAGCGGGGGAAGAGCAGAGAGAGAGGGAGACAGAATCCGAAGCAGGCTCCGGGCTCTGAGCTGTTAGCACAGAGCGCAAGACAGGGCTGGAACTCAAGATCCACCAGATCATGACCTGAGCTGACGTCGGACACTTAACCGACTGAGCCACCCAGATGCCCCAAGGAAGGTTTAATATAAGTTGCCACCCACTACTGTGTGTAGACTTCAGGTAGGAATACAATGCTTGGACACTCTCTCCTGTTCACTTCTCCTTCTTCATAAAAAGGGGGCGGGGGGGAGATGGGGAGAGGGACAGACACACAAAGAAAGTCCCAATTTCCCTGAAATGGCCTGAAAGATAGGAGAAACTCAGCATAGGATGTGCCCAAAGAATTCATGAAATGGGTCGCACAACTTCATTGAGCTCCTACTGTGGGCCCTGCGTTGTATTTGGCTCTAGGAAGAGGAAACAAAGATAAATTATTCAGCCACTTCTGCAGCCAAGGCGCTTACATTCTGAGAGCTATTTCTTCCAGTTAGCAGATGTTGGAAGTATAGATGGTGCGCTTTTGATTAAGAGTCCCGGCGTTTCAGTTTAGCCAAGTAACAGGGCGCAAGTGAAGCGGCAGGAGGTGGGAGGGGAGAGTGGGGGCATGGGTTGCGGCTTGAATGCCGAGTTAAGAGGCAAAGAAGATAGAAAGGCCCTGCACACACAGGCCAGTAGCGGTATTGTGCCCGTGCCACTGCTGGCATCTGGGGCCATGGTCAGGAAATCTGAGGTTGGTCAGTAACAATTACTAGCATTTATCCAGTGATTACACGTGTCAGTAATCAATTTAGGTCCACACGTTAACTCATTCTTTATATGAACCCTAGAAAATAGATACTATTATCACCCCATTTTTATTAATTAGAAAGCTCAAGACGGTCAGAGGGGGAGCTCAACAGCTCAGCTGTCACAGCTAGGTAGAGTGTGAATTTCAACCCAGGCTGTCTGTTCTAGAGCGCTTCAAGTGACAAATCAATGTGCCACCCCAAGCGTCTGGACTGGCCTGCTGGGTAGGGGTGGCGGAGGGATGGGATGATGATTTTGATGGGTAAATACGATCCTGAAGAAAGCTCCGACGTCTTTCTCCATGCCCGAACATTCCCTTTGGCATAGACAATCGAGAGTCAATGCTCCGGAAACCAGCCAGAGGACAAGTACTTTAGGCCCCTTCCCACTAGATGGCGGCCCCTAAACCAACATAGAAATTCTGGAACCTCCACTGTCCCCACCTTCCAGGGTTAGGCTCTGCCGCAGAATTGCAGGAAGCGCACCCTCCTCCCACCCAGGGGCTACCGGCCCCTGCCCCGCCCCATCCGGGGGTCGTGGGAAGCCCCCAGGCTGGAGGCAGAAGTGGAGGGGGCGGGGAGACGATCCCACCCCCCCCCCCTCCCCGCTCTGGGCGCCGGAGGGAGGAGCTGGTGCGCAGCGGCCACTCCCGGAGCGAGGAGGCGGGGCGCTCCCGCACTGCCGGAGCCGGTCGCCAAGGGGAAGGCCTGGACCGCCGGGCGCTGGGCGCGGACTCGGGCCCCGAGGGCGCGGGCCGAGCGGCAGGTGCGCGGCGCGGACTACAAGTCCCAGCATGCCCAGCTACCCTGACCCGGCCCCCGCTGCCACTTAAAAGCTTCGGGAGCCGCAGCCGTCGGGTCGCCGCGGCTTTCGCTTTGCAGCCGCGGCTGGGCGGGCGGGAGCGGCGGGCTTGGCGGCCGGCAGTCCTAGCGTCCGGGCTCCGGCTGCGCCGAAGGGCGCTCTTCGTCCGGCCCTCCCCGCGCGCGGAATCCCTCCCGAGGCGCCCGCGCCCCCGGGCTCCCCGCCTCGCCCACCCCGCGGCCCCGATGCCGAGGCATGGATAGAGCGGCGCTGCGCGCGGCGGCGATGGGAGAGAAGAAGGAGGGCCGCGGCGGGGGGGACGCGGCGGCCGCGGACGGGGGCCCCGGGGCCGCGGCCAGTCGGGCGCTGCAGCAGTGCGGGCAGCTCCAGAAGCTCATCGACATCTCCATCGGCAGCCTGCGCGGGCTGCGCACCAAGTGCGCCGTGTCCAACGACCTCACCCAGCAGGAGATCCGGACCCTGGAGGTAAGGGGGCCGCGCGGCCCGGGGAGCGGCCCCGGCACCTCCCTCGATGCCCCAGGGCACTCCTTCCCAGATGCATCCTGGAGCCGGTGTCGCCCCTTTGAGGCTTCCTCTCCCTCCTCCAGTCGCTGTTGCGGCAGCTTGGGGACCCAGGACCAGCCCGTCACCTTGGGCGGGATTTGGGGGGAGGGGCGGAGTGGGAACTGGGGTGGAGGCTCGAGGAGCCCGTGGGCGGGGTGGGCTGCGCGCGGGCATCCCCTGCCTCCCCATCTCCGCCCCCGCCCAGTTTGCGGGGCCGCAGGACTCATTCTCCCACTGAGTCACACGCTGGACTTTTCCCTGTGTGACTGAGGCGAGCAGCCGTGGGCCGGGGTGACGGGGAGGGGGGGGGTCCCCCTGAAGTGTGATCACAGGCCCGCCATTCTCTTTCTCTCACGCCCCAGACTCCCTGCTTGTTCCTTTCTTTCCTTTCCTCCAGGATTTTTGTCTGCCGCTTTTCAAAACGTGTTTGCTGAAACTGCATATTTATTGCTCAGGCATTTGATGCTTTCCTTTCGCACAGCCACAGCATGTCACTGCTCAAAATATAATTACCCCCCGACTCCCCCACTCCTCCTCAGACACTGGATTTTGGTTTAGGAAGGTTTATGCTGGGGCACCAGGCCTTTGGTAGGAAGATGACACTATTTAAGGGGTTCTGGGGGAGAGAGTCTCCAGTGTAAAGAAGAAATAAGATCTGCAGGCCCTCCTCCCTCAAATGATAGCCAGGACGTGCAGTATTAAAAGGATTTGGAAGAACAAGTCAAAAGGGTGGTTGGGTTCTCAGAAGGGGGGGGGGGTCTCCCCCTCCCCCATACACAATAGAGGGAAACTAGTGCATTCCCAACTAGCTTTTGTCCTGACACTGGAAAGGCCGTAAAATTCCAGGGACCACTTAATTGCTACCCCAACTTGAAGTGGCTTCTTTCCACCTTGCGTCAGCACATCTGGCCTTCTGCCGATCTGGGGATGTTTTGTCGTGGGAGAACCTTAATTTCTCAACCTAACAGCCCCCTCCCCAGCCCTTTATTGCAAACTGCCTCTGCCAGCTGTCATAGGCCAATCAGCAGCCTGAATCCCTGTTTGATCCACAATGTTCGAGGGTGACTTCTCTCCTGCAGTTTTGTTTCCTTCAAAGCTACATACAAAACCAGGGACGTTGGGAGCATCTCGTGAGTGCTGGCTATTATTATTTTCATTACAGTTGCTCTAGCAGTACTGAGCGGGGCTTTGCTTTAAAAACCAACCAAGGGGCGCCTGGGTGGCGCAGTCGGTTAAGCGTCCGACTTCAGCCAGGTCACGATCTCGCGGTCCGTCAGTTCGAGCCCCGCGTCGGGCTCTGGGCTGATGGCTCAGAGCCTGGAGCCTGTTTCCGATTCTGTGTCTCCCTCTGTCTCTGCGCCTCCCCCGTTCATGCTCTGTCTCTCTCTGTCCCAAAAATAAAAAAAAAAACAAAAAAAAAAACAAAAAACAAAAACCAACCAACACTAACACCCCTCTGCCCCCAAGCTGTCCCTTCTTGCATGCATGCTGCTGTTTTCCATGGGGTGAGGGAAACTGGTCTCTTCTTGAACACAGCCGAATGTGTTTGCCCAGCAAAGTTCGGTGTTTGAACTGACACAATAGGGGGCCTGTGTGGCTTAGTTGTGGGAGGCGGGATCATCGTCCTGCAGCATGTGTCTGCTTGGACTGCTATGTTATCGAGATGAGAGAAAGTTCTCTGTGTTGACCTCTCTCGGCTTGTCCCCATGTTGCTCTGAAGAGCTCCTGGTTCCTGGAGTAGATACAGGAGGACTGTGTATTGTTCATTCTCTGGAAATGGTACTTTGCCCTCTAGATACCCTGATTTCCAGAGTCATTCATTTTAACAAAGATATGGCATCGTGACACCCCCAAGCATCGCTATTTAGGTCTGTGAGCTGTGTGTCAGTGGCCTCCCTCCTGCGTGTTTATTGGGTGATGGCCTCTGACAGCCAGAAAACCCACCCAAAGGAAATTTGCGTTGTAAACAGGAACGAATACCCAGGTCCCCGTTCTCTCCATTGTGGTGTGGGATTTGGGTTCACCCTACTCCGAGAAAAGGCAGGACCTGGTTTGTTTCTTGGGAATGGGAATTGAGACCTCAGGAACTGGCTCCCTAAAGCTGCGTCCAGCTAATTTGAATGAATCTCTTTGCCCTGGAGGCCTCAGCCTCCTAACCTGCACAGGGAGGTTGGGGTGGATCTCTGTAGGCCCTTGACAAGGCTCTACATTCTGTGGTTTGGTGAAGGGGCCTCTGTTGGGTTGAACCAAACGTTTGTTGCACATGCCTCTGTTTAAAAAACAGTTGTAAAATCCAGATTTACGAAACTGATAAAATAGGGGGGAAGTGTATTAGTGAAAGAATTCTGCTGATGGGGACAGTGTGGCGGACAGCTTTGAATTCAGGTCTGGGGTGGGGAGGGGTGTCTGTCCCATGACTTCTGAACCTCAACTTTCCCATCTGTAAAATGGGGATAAGATGGCATAAACCTGCAGTGCTGTGAGCCTATAAGTTTGTGTCCTACCACTGAAAGATTCTGCCTGTAAACTTTCCCTGGTGAGGGTCCAGTGGCATTCATTGCCACAGGCCACCTTTAGGGGAAGGTACTTCTCTACAGCTGGCTCTTGTCTCCTAGAGGTGGGTGACACGGGCCAGGAGACCATCCCGCCAGCATGTAGTGAGGGAGGCAGGACAGTGGTCCAGCTGTCCGCTCTGGCTTTCTTTTCTGTTCTGCAGGCTCCTCTCCCATCATATTCCAGGCCAGGGCCCCTAGAGAGAATGCTTTGCAACACTGGATTCCGGGCTTTTGAAGAAAGGGGTTCCCCAGAGGTCTTGGCTTATGCAACTGCGCCAGACTTCTCCCAGAATCTTAGGAACCCCAGCCCAATCTGGCCTTCATTAAAAAAAATTTTTTTTTAACATTTATTCATTTTTGAGAGTGAGCGAGACAGAGCATGAGTGGGGGAGGGGCAGAGAGAGAAGGAGACACAATCCGAAGCAAGCTCCGGGCTCTGAGCTGTCAGCACAGAGCCCGTTGTGGGGCTCGAACTCACGGACTGCGAGTTCACGACCTGAGCTGAAGTCGGACGCTTAACCGACGGAGCCATCCAGGCACCCCTGGCCTTCATCCAATAAGCACTCGCTGGGAGAAACAGCACGTGGGATGCCCCCGGAAGCCCCTGACCTGGGCGCAGCTGCTGGTGCCCCAGATCACAGGTCGTGATGGTGTGCGGGGTTGTGGGGGGGCGGGGCGGGCGCAACGCGTCTGGCTGCCCTTGTGATGACTTTTTCTCTGTGTAGTGGTCCAGTTTGGATTCAAAAGAGTGCAAGGAGCCGGGGTTCAATGTTTGCCTCCTACCTGCCGGCAAGTGTGCTGGAACCTTCTCAGGCTCCTCATATTTCCCAGAAATCCACCAACCTTCACCACACAATTTTTTCTCTCTAGATGGGGAGGGAGGGTGACAGAATCTAGAACTCAGAGCCTGAATTTGTAAACAAAGTTGTGAGGCTCCTTCATCCTAGAAGAGCCCCGTGCCCTGCCTCCAGCAGACCCTCCTAGGGGGTCTGAGAACTCCACCCAGGCAGGACGGAATGTTCTTGTTCCCACATGGGCTCACACAGGGACACCTGGCTGGCCTCACAGCTGGGCCTGGAGCCCCATGCCAGGTCATTCCCTCATTTATTCATGCTTTGTGGGCCGAGTCTGTGCTGAGCTCTGGGGAGAAAACAGTGCCTCGTGCAGGTTCACGTTTAGTGGCATCGTAACATTGCCCTTTTCTGCCGGCCTGCTAGTACTTTCCAGAACAGGCCAAGGCATACCGAGTCTCTCCACCTTGTGCTCTTTTAAAAAACATTTTTTTTGGTAATGTTTATTAATTTTTGAGAGACAGACAGAGCACGAGCCGGGGAGGGGCAGAGAGAGAGGGAGACACAGAATCTGAAGCAGGCTCCAAGCTCCGAGCTGTCAGCACAGAACCTGATGCGGGGCTTGAATGAACCATGAACTACGAGATCATGACCCGAACCGACCAGGTGCCCCGCCCCCTCTACCTTATGCTCTTATAGAGAGAAATTCCTTCCTATGCAAGCTGATCTGGAGGAAGAAGGCCCCGTGGACCTTGCCCATGGGACTTGCCCAGGAGGGGACCTTGGGGAACTGTGGTAGGTACAGTCTCTGAGTTGCCCTGGGGCCAGGAGGTGCCACTCGGAAGGTCAGCAGGGCTTGCCTTTTGCCCAGCTTGATTGTGACGGAGGTCAGAACCCTGCTGTGTGGAGTACCGAGCTCCAGGCCCCATGGTCCCTTATCTGCCCCCGCCACCCCCCCAACATCAGGCCCTCCAGGCTTGCATGAACATCCATTCACTCAACTTCCATCATTATTCGTTTGCCTGCTGGGCTAGCTGCAGCCCCCCTGGCAAGGATTCTGAGGTACTCGGGATGCCTTCCTGGTCTTTGGGGAAACTTGAATTCTAACGGGGAACCAGGCAGGTGAACCGTAGTGACTCCAGGAGCGTGGCTTGCCAAGTACTCAGGGATGGGGAATGTGCCAGAACGGGTTGGCCAGTCTAGCCTTCTGTTTTGGTGGGAACTATTCCCACAGTCCTGGTGTCCCACGTTATGTCCCTGGCAGAACTGAGAGCGCGAGCTGGTTTCCCTTTCCCCACCGGCCGTCGCTTCAGAGTGGGGGCATCTCTCCTTCTGCTCCATTGCCATGGCTCCAAACTCCCGCTGGAGGTTTTAACTCCAGCCGTCCCTGAGGGGATGCAGAGATGGGGCACTGCCCCCTTTGGTGTCTGCTTTTGCCTTGGCAGCTTTATCCCTGCTGGAACTTGCCACCCACATTCCTCCATGGTGGCCTGGAGAGGGTCCTGCGTGTCTCCTCCTCTTTACTCCTTTCTCGCCAAGAAAGCTGCTGTGTCCTGCCCGGGAGAGGACGCTGGGG